GTTATGGCAGTTTTTCACCTGCTGTTTAAGGTCCTCTATTATTTTTATATAATTCACTTTTGAGTCTATTTCTTCTAATTCTTCTGGAGTGGGGTGTACAATTCTTCTCATTTCAGGATGGTGAAGTCATGTTGCCTTTCAGGTTGTTGGAGAAATTCTTGCATTGGCGCCTTCCCATCTCTTCCTTCAAATGGAGCCAGGAGAGGCCTGGTGTCTTGGTCCAGTCTTTGCTGTGACTAACTCTCTGGGTGTATCTCCTCAGTGTAGAAGCAGGAACCGTTCCCGTCCAGATGAAACTCCTCAGCACCAAAGCATGGACGCCTGATAGTCCAATGGCCCGTGGGCAAAAGAGCGAACTTGGGGGGCAGGGCGGGGTCTAGTAGAACACAGGAGACCCTGCTGTGCAAGCTGAAGGTGCCCGCGCTCTCTTTGGGGGTCCTTGAGGCCCGCCTGGTAGGCAGGCACTCACCGCTCTGGGTGGGTAGCCTTAGTGTAGGAGCAGAAGAGTGTTCCTGATCAAAGGACCTTGCAGACTATGCAGGCTTGGGGGGAGGGGAGGATCATGTGTAAAAGCATACTAACAATTTTACACTTAATTGTATAACTTCTCAGAGTTGTTTTATTAACTCAGTGAATTTTTAAAAAATATTTATTTATTTTGTATACAATATTCTGTCTGTGTGTATGCCTACAGGCCAGAAGGGGACACCAGACCCCATTATAGATGGTTGTGAGCCACCATATGGTTGCTGGGAATTGAACTCAGGACCTTTGGAAGAGGAGGCAATGCTCTTAACCTCTGAGCCATTTCTCCAGCCCCCTCAGTGAATTTTTGTTGATACTTCTTTTCCAAGATTTTTTATGAAAGGGTGGAAGTCAGGCGAGTGAAAGATGAAAACAAGCTGATGTAGCTATCCAATAGAGTCCAAGTAAAATTAGTCAGAATAGATAAAGAAGTCCAATATATAATGTCACATTCAAAGAATCCATAACACTTGCAAATATATATTCACCAAGAGTTGGGGCTCCCAAATCATAAAATAGACATGAATGCGCCTAAAGATCTCATAGACACAAGATTAGTAGGTTACTTTGATACTCCACTCCCATCTTAGGATAGATCATTCAAACTAAACATCAACAGAACAAGGGCAGTGAGATGGCTCAGCAGGTAGACACTTTCTGTCAAGCATGGTTGTGATGGTCTCTGCAAATGGCTGGGTCAACAGATTCATGATCCATATGAGTGAACATTAGCACAGAGATCACATTATTTGTAATACTGTTTGGCCAATAGCTTAATCATATTTCTATCTAGCTCTTATATCCTAAATTATTGAAAATGACTCAATCAGAACCCATAATAGACTCAGATAGCCACTATGCCACACAAACATGCAAAAAATACTATCTTTTACAAAGTTAAAGTCCCCAAAGGATTCCATCTCCAAAACCATGCAAACTAATCAAGACTTAATTACAGTTCAGAGTACAGCCCTGATACATTTCCCATATCAGATTGCATATGGGATTGCCAGGAATGCTAGCAACAGGCAACCATAGAGTAGACCACATAATTATGACCATGATAGTGTCCTTGTATTTGCTGGAACAGGCTAGGCTCCTCCATTAACAATTTTACTTGTCCCCTCAAAATTTGCACAAGCTTTTACCTGGTTTACCCTTGCCTAGATGTAAACATTTAATCAGAACCTATGCAACTTAACACAAGTCAAGTCATTGGATCTGTCTACCACTTTCTTTGTCCAAGAGTGGAAAAGCAGCCAGAACACACTGGGCGAGTGGCAACAACTGCATCTCAGTCCCCATGCTCAGTCCAGGGTCAAACTAGTGAAAGTAGCCACCATTTGAGTAAAACATTCCAATCCCGGATGGTAAAGGGGATTCAACCACAGTCGAACAGCTAAAGCCTTTCTGTGAATTAAGAGATTATCTATCATCCTAATGGCTCTTAACTGGTTCACATAACCAGATTTTTTTGAGAAGAGAGACTAGGAGAGGAAGTTCAACAGTCCACACTCCACATAGCAGCCAGGACTCTCCATAAAACAAGAGATCCTTTAGACAATCCTGGGGAGTGGCCCTAGGTAAAAGTCATCAGTTGCTCTCAGGCTATGAGGGAGTCAGCTTGAGGACAAGGATGAAAGGGAAACACAGGCTGAACGTGTTGCTTATAGTGAGGGACATGTGTGGTTTGTTAGGTTGTGTTTGTATGCTCACACAGTGTCTCCGGGTGAAAAGGACTGGTTGGAGGGTCCTTTGTTGGGTCTACCTCCTGGATGGCCAGTTCTTATGTGGAGGTACTGGGAAGAACCGAGTCAGGATGGAGAGTTCCTAACCAGGAAGATAAATGGAAAAAAAGAAAAAGAAAATATAGGGATAGAAAAGAAAGTCCCAACTCACCAACAGCTTAGATGTTGAAATAGGAGCGGCGGGGCTGCGTCCCCAACACCCTGGCCGCTTGGCTAGCTCATGCCCGAAATAACAACACACAAACTGTATTCATTTAAGAACTGCTTGGCCCATGAACTCTAGCCCTTACAGGCCAATTCTCGCATCTGGACTAGCCCATTTCTAATGATGTGTGTAAGCACCCCAAGGTGCGCTTACCGGGAAGATTCTAGCCTATGTCCATCGTGGGTTGCAGCTGCCTGGGAGAGCTGAGCATGGCGTCTCTGCTCCAGCAGAGCTGTCGGGTCTCTCCGGGAGCCGAGCAGAGTCTGACCTCACTTCCTCTTCCGCCCAGAATTCTATTCTGTTTACTCCTCCCATCTATGTTCCAAGCCATGAGGCCAAGCAGCTGGTTTATTATAACTTAACCAATGAAATCAACAGATTGATATATGACACTCCCACATCACTTAGAAAACAAAAATAGGGGTCAACTCACTGAAAACAGCCAAAGGGGGTGAACTCAAGATGTTGGTAGAGAGTTGGGACAGGGCCAGCAGTGGGGGCAGCAAGCAAAAAAAAATGCCCAAAAGAGGGTAAGGAGGACCCAAAAAAACAAGCAAAAGGGAAAGGTCCATCCATGTTGGGTGCCAGTTGTTGCAGGCTTGTTGCTGCTGCCTGTTGCGCTATTCCCATTTCCCAGGGGCCAGGGGGTGAGAAGATGCAGAGGTAATGACACAGACTCTGAGAGATTCCAATATAGAAGTTCTTTATTGTAAGAAGGTCAAAGGTTTTTATAATTTAGGGAAATTAAACTGCCACAGAAATGTTTTTGGTTGGTCCTTTTGAAACTGGCAGTTGTGATTGGCTAGGAGTACCTGTCATTAGTTACTGTACTTTTGGTCCGCTGACATGTTGTTTGGGCCAATTTTGCTTATGCATTGTGAGTTTGTATGCACTTGCTTGTGCTATTGCCCTGCCTCAAGCTACATTCGTGGTGATGAGGACTAGAGACTATCAAGAATAAAAAATATACAATATAATCAGATATGCTTACACAATATCAAGGACTTTCTGTCCAGGTTCTTTGAATTGCAAAAACATGAAACTTACAAAAATCTCTAGCCCAGAAAAATATGAAACCCCATGGAAGAAAAGAAAGACAGGAAGTGAAGGAAATGAATGATGAAGTCAACTGAAGCTAACTTACACTAAGTCATCATGATTGGACTATCAATGTCATTGCAGAAATCTCCAGAATTGCAGCAGAACGTATGTATTATTAGACCTCCAGAATATTTTTCATTAAATTTACAGAATTTTGTGCACCTCATCTCCGCACTTTCCAGCTTATTATCTGTGGAAGAAGATAGAAAAAAAGATATACTTTTGAGAGCCAGGATACAACCTCATAGCTGAGTATTTTGGGATGGACAAAGATTTCAATGAAAGAATTTTCTTCCATAGCAGGTAGTGTTCCATGTTGACCTTCTTGTCACATGCCCTTAGGCTACATCTGGGAAAAGCCCCTTTACTACAGGAGACACATGTACTTAGTGGTGAACTTGAGGTTCTACATGTCAAGGTACATAGCATCCTCTCTCCTCAATCAGACATACACACATCACTTCCTAAATACATGCTGGGATCCAGACTCAGTGGTGAGTGATTGGGCAGAGAGAGATGACAATAATATTAGTCAGCAAGAACCAGATTCTATGGAATGACATGAAGGACACACCATGAGAGATGCCAGATGATAGATGAAGCAGGAAGACTTGGGAAGCACAAAGGTGTCTTTTTCTAGAGAAGGTGATTCCAGGCTAAGATAGAAGTGGTCAATGAACATTAGAAGAGCAAAAGTCACCAGGGCAGAGTGTGATAAATGGTACATTTAAGGACTGATAATTTGTTCTTTTGAATTCTGTTGTGGCTTGAAATAGAACAACCCTCATTGGCTTGAATATTTCAATGCTTGGTCCTCAATTGGTCAACGTGTTTGGGAAGAATTAGGAAGTGGGGTCTTGGAGGAGGTGTGTCACTGGGGAAGAGGCTTGGGGTTTCAAAAGTCAATGCCATTCTCTCTCTCTCTCTCTCTCTCTCTCTCTCTCTCTCTCTCTGTCTCTCTGTCTCTCTGTCTCTCTCCATCATGGTTGTGACTCAGTATGTAAGTTCTAGTACCTGCCCCAGCTCCATGCCTTTCTGCTTGCCGCCATGCTATCTACCGTGATCATCATGGACTTTACCCCTGGGACTTTGAGTCAGCCCCAAATTAAGGGTTTTCTTTTATAAGTTGCGTGACTGTGCTGTTTTGTCATGGGAATAGAAAATTAACCAAGACAAACCCTAAATAGCAGAGCTGTTGCAGATTAAGAACTGATGAATATATCAATACAATGGTGGAGAGAAGCCCCATTTACTGAAGATATGCTTAGCTTTACCATTGACAAATGTTGACCCCAACACAGGTTTGGTATATCACACCTAGATATCAGTTGACCCCTTTTCTTTAAGTACAATATCTTAGAGATGGTGTTTGGAATCCTGAAGGAGAAACGGCAATTATCCAGAGCACAGAACACACGCTTACCTTTACTCCAGTGCCAGGTTCTGCGGATCACACATGTTTCACCAGGTTGTGTAATACACGTCTGAATCCCATCAACACACTCCCCATTTTTGTAAGACGGACACAGTACACACTTTACCGCGAAAGCTGCAAAGATAAAGACTGCTTAGAGGAGATGGGTGACACTCTGACACTTTCCAATGGACGCCTAGGTCACCGGACCTCTGGATAGCTTAGCCGCACCCGTGTGTTTGCCAAACAGATGTGCTCAAGCCAACATGTCTTAACACCACAGACAAAGCAGGGTGAAATAAGAGGTGGGTTTTAACTTTTAAAATTTCTACCAACAGCAGATAAAGGAGTTATTTGTAGGTGGTACATACTGGTTTCAAAGCAGAGAAGAAAGAGGCACAGCTTCAGTAGATTTTCCATTTCTCCTGAGCGGCCTGTTGCAGCAGGCTATGTTAGTTCCAGATAGCTGGTGATCAGAGATTGCTCCCAGAAAAAACTAGACAGCCTCTAGTGAATTTATAGTCCACTCAGACAACGACAATGGACTCTGGGTTCCCGGAAGCAGATCTCAGAGTAAGCTCCTCCCACACTGACAATACACCAAATCCTTCTGTGACTTAAAAATGATTTCCTTATTCCCCTTATATTTCCTTGCTTCAGGTGGTGTTTATGATGTACATGACCTGTAAGGTAATGTTACTATCAGCAGCACACAGTGGTCCCCTGATTTTCTTCCTGATTTCATGCTATGAGGTCAAACTGTTCTGCTAATGCTAGAGACCGAAACTAGAGAAGGAAAAACTTTGATTGAGCCTGAGTCGCAGCAGGAGGTGGCTGCCCTGGAGTGTGTCTCCAGGATGCTGGAAAGGTGAACGCAGGAGTCTGCTTGTGTAGATAGAAAATGCGTGAAGGGTTTGTGCACATTCCTCATCATGGAATGACCATGTTAGCACCCGGTCCTTAATACCAATCAGAGGGTTTGTGTCTGGCTTGGGTGTGAACAGCTGCTGGGCAAGAATTGTTGTCTGTGGTCCATGCTGTTTTGTAAGACTATGCAGGCTGTCTGAGCACATCCTTGATTGGGGCTGTAGTGACCATCTTCAGTGACTGTAGAGAGTCAAAACAGCCAGGCTGCCATGAGAGAGTCTGGTCAATTGCTGGCAAAGGGGCTACTTGTCTGATAGTTTCCCTGCTCAAAATTGTCATGCATCAGTGGTGGGCCTGCTTAATTGCCGCCTGCTGAATGTTGTCATCAGGTACAGAAAGTATTAGATCGCATTAGCAATAAAGAGTTGCCAGAAGCTCAACATAGAGCACTCATTTCTAGTAGCATTAAGTGTACCTTATCATGTAATATATATAAGACAAGGTCTTACTTGTAACCCTGGCTGGCCTGGAACTCACTGTGGAGACTAGAATGGCCTCGTACTCACACAGATCTGCCTGCCATAGAACCATACTCATAGTTTTCAAAAATTACAGTTTCATTTTTCTCTGTCTTTTTTCTTGTGTGTATATGTGATGATTTTTGGTATAGATTTTTTTATTTAAGTTTTTTTTTTTCATTTTACATACCAACCCCAGTTCCCCCTCCCTCCCCTTCTCCTGCCCCTTCCCGCCTCACCCCATCCACTCCTAGGGGGTAAAACCTTCCTATTGAGTCCCAAATTGATCAAATACCCACACTCACCTTGCTGGTAAATTGTTTTAATTACAGAATAATATATAGCTTTGTTGTCCCATGCAAGGGTGCTCTTGGCTATATTGTATATTTCCTTCTCTAGAACTGGTTTCAGGTATTTATCTGAGGAGTCAAGTTCATGTCAGTGGGAAACTTTATAGTTTACAACTGGGGCATCATAGGTGTTCATTGATATAAAGTTGGTCATTATTTCTATATTTTGTGGAGAGAGATAAAAAACTTTATTATTTTATTTTTCTATTTTGTTTTAACAGTACCTGTTGTACAAGTTTGAATATGCCTTGAATTTTGTTATTAAAGGTAACTAACATCTTACCCTATTTTTAACTGTATAAAAGTCTCCTTATGTAATTCAGTACCATGTATATTCAAAATATTTAATTAAAAGGTACACATACTAAGAATTTTACACTCAAATATATAACCATGGGATTATTTTCATAGTTCTTTTACTAACTCAGTGACCTTTTTGGTATTCTTTTCCTTACACTGACAACAAGATTTTGTATCGAAGAATCTATCAGTTAGTCTATCAAGTGAGTGAAAGCTAAACACGGGCTAAGGTAGGGGGCTGTTCTGATATCCAATAGGGCACAAGCAAAAATTAGTCAAAAGAGATAAAGAACGCCAATGCATAATATAAATGAAACAACCTTTATAGAACCTATAATGATGATAAATATATATGCAAGAGTTGGGACTCCCATTTTCATAAATAATCACAAATGGGCATAACAGTCTCATAGACCCAAGAGTAGCAGGTCCTTCAATACCTCACTCCGATCTTCAGATAGATCCTTCAAATTCAACTTCAGCAAATAATCCCAGTGAGATGGCTCAGCAGGCTTCAGAGACACTCCATAGACACTAGCTTCCAAGCCTGGTTATCCAAATCCAATCTGGGAACTCACATGGTATGATAAGAACAAAATGGACTCTCAAATGTGGTCCTCTGGCATTCCCCACCATGACCTATATTTCATACTTGCACACACACACAAACACACACACACACAGAGAGAGAGAGAGAGAGAGAGAGAGAGAGAGAGAGAGAGAGAGAGAGAGAGAGACTAAATATAACTTTAAAGGTTTAAATCAAGAATTTAAGGCTACCACTGCATCATAGTGTACCTAATCGTTATTTGCAGAATATTTCATTTGACAGAAAAAAGTTCATATTCTTTTCCATGACTGTAGAAACTTCTCTAAATGAAATGTCACTTAAGGAACAAAATGAGGTTTAAGAAGTACCAAAAATCAAAATAACATCTTATAATTTTTAGGCCTAGTGTAATAAAACAAAAAATAAATAATCATAAAAAGAGAAATCATAAATAATACAAAATACTTGAAGGTGTTGGGGTGGGGCTTATCAAAGCTTGGTAACAGAGAGTCCCAGGACAACCAGTTGTATGTACAACAGTGTTTCTATCCTGTCTGCTGCCCTCCGTTCCCAACACTATGTGGAAGGATGTTCAAGATTCAACTCTGTAAGCTCTAGCATTGGTTTATGTTTATCCTTGGATGACCAGCATCCTGATGATCAGCTGTTTTTGCTGTGTGTAGGAATGCAGGGTCTTTGGCCCTTCTTACAGATACCACTTGCCTCACACAGAAATGTATCCAAGTGAGACCTGCTGTTCTTTCAGATAACAGCCACTTGGACACTCCAATCCCGGCTCCCTCACATCACTCCTTGGCTTTCCCAGATTTGTGGGAATGTTCAATAAAGAGAAAGAAGCTTCTTTTTTTGGGGGGGGGGTGGACACAAAATGTTAAACATTAGTTTATAATTTAAAAATAAGAAAATTGAAAATTTTTCACACATTGACTCTATTCACATTATTCTCATCCTTCCTCTTCCTCCTCCAGCTCCTCTGGTGTCCCTCCTCCCCAACCCCGTTCAAATTCACAAACTCTGATTTTTTTAATTAGTATTGTTATACATACACAAGTATATCTAACATATATGCATGTATGTGTGTGTACGTTCATATGTATAGCCTGGTGAATTTCTTTAGTTTTGCTTGCATACATTAGTATTAAATGTTGTCCACCTGGGATTGGATAACCCATCATGGGGCTTGAATATGGAGTGAACTGGCTCTTCCTTTCTCATTGGACACAATTACCTGTAGTTCTTTATCTAGGGGTAGAGCCTTAAGAAATTCCCCCCTTACCCACTGATATGTTGACTATTGTCATTGTACAGGTCTTGTTGAGGCAACCCTACTCCTGAGATCTCATGGGTGCATCCACCCTGTCATGTAGAGAAGTTAACACCTTGGAGCAGATGTTCTGGTTCTCTACTCTTACCATCTTTTTGGTACCCTCTTGTGTGATGATTCCTGAGTTTTAAGAGTGGGTGTCTGTAGGTGTAACAGCTGTCTGTGGGAACCCCATTTTTTCCTCTTTGCATTTTGATCAATTCTAGGCACTCACGCAACAAGAAGAGTGTAAGTTTATGTATTTCACCACGCTGCTTTCTGCATCACTCCATTTTGCTCCCCACCCCAAAGGAAGGGACACCAGAAGTTTAGATACTTGATGAATACTCATAAAGACCCTAGTTACAACACAGGATAGGTGCTGTCACCTAAGAGAGGAAAGCTAAGTGGTCTGTGCTTACCCAGGACATAAGAAACACACACTGTCTTTAGCTAAGTGCTTCCTGTCTTGGCACAAGCAGGGGCACAGCCAGACCCAGGACCTTATGCTGGAGTAGCCACAGGGGAGGTGAAATGTGAAACATACCCCCAGCAATGCTGAAGCATGCATCGGCATCTCATTTATATTTTTTCATGATCTGGGTTGATCTACTGACCAGGAGGTCTGTTCCTCAAGGAACAGGTGCCAACGAGATATGAACTCAAATTGTTGGATTCAGAGGCCAGAATGTTAACCATTATACCATGGGAGCTGGTACCAAGGTGAGATAGGATGACTTAATTTTTTTTTCTGTTTTCTTTTGAGCATTCACTAAAGTATATTTTAGATAAAACACCAATAATAAAAAGTCAATACTAGCCTACTCTTTTGCTCCATCGACTCTTGGGTAGAAGATTCCCAGCTCCCTTTGCTTCTGTTCACACTGATATAGCTGGGGAGGAGATGCTGCAAGAGTGAGTTTTGTTAAGATGTACACTAGTATAAGTCACACCAGGTGTCTGAGACTTTCTTTGGGCCTCAAAGGACAATTGACATTCAATATGTACAGTCTGTGCTCCTATAAGATTAATAATGTATTTTCTAAGATATGTCTTTTACACAAGTGTCTACATGTTTGTATATTATTGATGAAAATAGATACCCTTTGTCAAGTTAGAATGCTGATCAATTTTGGTGGTGTTTTCAATACCTTTTAACTTTACACAGTTTGATTTATTTAAAAAATTCAAAATCCTTCATTGAGTTCAATTGTACTTCCATTCTGCTTCCCCTCTAAGGAATAGCTAATGATAGCATAGCATAGTTGTCACCAATAATTACCCAATACGTAGGTATGTGTTATATGCAATGTTAAGTAAATGTAATATGATTACTTATAATTTTTCAGACATAATTATTGGTATTTTACCTTTTTCCTCTCTTCTTTCTGTAATTTATATTCTTTCCTCTTCCTCGTGAAAGTTCCTCCTCCCAATCCTCCCTCCTTCAAGTCACTGCGTTCCGCTATTCACCTTTCTCATCCTCTCATAAGGCTCCTTTTTTTTTTTTGTGAATCACTGGGCTACAAGCCTTTTATTTCTTTTTTTTTCCTTTTCTTTTTTTTTTAATTGAGAATAAGAAAAAAAAGTTTCCGCCTCCTCCCAGCCTCCCATTTCCCTCCCCCTCCCCCCAATCTTCTCCCCCTCCCCCCTCTCTTCTCCCCCTCCCCCCACTCCTCTCACCCCCCCTCTCCTATCCAAAGAGCAGTCATGGTTCCCTGCCCTGTGGAAAGTCCAAGGTCCTCCCCCCTACGTCCATGTCTAGGAAGGTGAACTTCCAAACTGGCTAGGCTCCCACCAAGCCAGAACATGAAGTAGGATCAAAACCCCTTGTCATTGACCTTGGCTTCTCATCAGTCCTCATTGTTCGCCGTGATCAGAGAGTCCGGTTTTATCCCATGCTGTTTCAGTCACAGTCCAGCTGGCTTTGGTGAGTTCCCAATAGATCAGCCCCACTGTCTCAGTGGGTGGGTGCACCCCCCGTGGTCCTGACATCCTTGCTCGTGTTCTCCCTCCATCTGCTTCTCATTGGGACCTTGGGAGCTCAGTCCAGTGCTCCAGTGTGGGTCTCTGTCTCTATCTCCATCCATCACCAGATGAAGGTTCTATGGTGATATGAAAGACTCTAAAATGCTAATTAACCCAATTAAAAAATGGGGCACTGAACTGAACAGAGAATTCTCAAAAGAAGAAGTTCAAATGGCCAAAAGACACCTAAGGTCATGCTCAACCTCATTAGCAATCAGGGAAATGCAAATCAAAACAACTTTGAGATATCATCTCACACCTGTCAGAATGGCTAAAATCAAAAGCACCGATGATAGCCTTTGCTGGAGAGGCTGTGGAGGAAGGGGTACCCTCATCCATTGCTGGTGGGAATGCAATCTTGTGCAACCACTTTGGAAATCAGTGTTTCGGTTTCTCAGGAAATTCGGGATCAACCTACCCCTGGACCCAGCAATACCACTCTTGGGAATATACCCAAGAGATGCCCTATCATATGACAAAAGCATTTGTTCAACTATGTTCATAGCAGCATTATTTGTAATAGCCAGAACCTGGAAACAATCTAGATGCCCTTCAATGGAAGAATGGATGAAGAAAGTGTGGAATATATACACATTAGAGTATTATGCTGCAGTAAAAAACAATGACTTCTCGAATTTTGCATGCAAATGGATGGAAATAGAAAACACTATCCTGAGCGAGGTAACCCAGACCCAAAAAGATGAACATGGGATGTATTCACTCATAATTGGCTTCTAGCCATAAATAAAGGTCACGGAGTGTATACCTGGTGAACCTAACGAAGCTAAAGAAGAAGGTGAACCCAAGAAAAAACATATAGTTATCCTCTTGGCTAAGGGAAGTAGATAAAATTGCCGGGGACAAAATTGGGATCTTGGGGGTGGGGTGGGTTGGGGATAAGGGGGGACAGGGAGAGAAAAGTAAGAAGGGGAGGATTGGGGGAACTTGGGGAAACAGGAAGATTGGGATAAAGGAAGGTCGGATAGGGGAGCAGGGAAGCACATATCTTAGTTAAAAGAGCCACCTTAGTGTTGGCAAGAGACTTGAACCTAGAGTGGCTCCCAGGAGCCCAAGGCGATGTCCCCAGTTAGTCCCTTGGGAAACTGAGGATAGGGAACCTGAACTGACCCTATCCTATAGCATTACTGACGAATATCTTTCATATCACCGTAAGGCTCCTTTTTTAAATCCTCCCAGATTCCATGTTTACTACAGGTCCTTGCTTCTTAATAAGAGCACTCGGATTTTACTCAAGGAACACTGGAGACTGAGAGTAGTGAAATGGAAGGAGTTTGTTTTATGACCTCCCTAAGTTGAGCACCAGCTTAGAAGGGCAAGGTGCGCTGGTCAAGCGCACAGAACACTCTACAAACTGAATGTGTGGCTCTTCCTGCCTTTTCTGAATAAGCAGGAGGGTACGATCTTATGAGAAGTTTATTTCATGATGAACACACAGAGGGAAACCGAGAGATGACCGGAGGAAGAAATAGGGTACAGGGACATGGTTGTTATTGCTGAAGGAATTGGCAGTTAGTGAAAGTTCTTATTCACTACTTGGCCAATATATCTGTTACAGAAATCTTCACCTTTGCAGCAAAAGGTAGAAATCTTCAAACTTCCATAATACATGTTTTCAGCCAAACATGCATTAGAACAGTCCAGTTCGGTGTGATTGTGGACCCATCTCCCTAGAAGAAAAAAAAAAAGCATTTTATACTTAGTGCCCCAAACAACACTTGGCATTCACAGTGAATGAATTCACAGTGAGACTTTCTCCCCCAGTGCCAACCCTGTTTTCCAGAGCCAGAATACATTAACCTCTTAGCAAGGATGGAACACATTACCTGCTTTTGAGAATATGAAGAAATTCCTGGTTCTGCATCCAGGACTGTATTTCGTAGTGCAGTTGCTCTTGCCTACCAGACAGTGTCCTCTTTTAAAAGACTTGCAGACCATGCACACTGTGGCCTGAGCTAGGGAAAGCAGATGCAAAGGGTGAACAAGGAATTGAAACAATTACTAACACTTGAGGATGAGGCATTGAGAGAGAGAGTAGAACCCTGAGGAATTTTCCTCATGAGACTTCAGGTTCTGATATATTGCGTCAAATTGGGTCCCTGGCTTCCTTGAAAAGCTGAGAGTTTGACACCACAATGTTGATTGCATAGGAACTAAAATGATAGGCCATCTTTTGTGTATAACATTGTTGTGCAAAAGCGTATTAAAGTATCTAAGTTAATCTGGCACCTAAAGTTCTTTTTGAAGTGCACGAGAAGAGTAATAATAATATCATGGGACTAACACAAAAATAGACCTGCAAATCAATGGAATAGAATAAAGGGCCCAGATATATGGCCATGTAACTACAAGCACGTGGTTTTTGACAAAGGTATCAAAAAGACACACTGGAGATAAGAGAATCCTCAGCAAATGATTCAGAGAAAACCAGATACCTTCATGTAGAAGAATTAACTAGACCATTTTCTCCCACCTTGCACAGACATCAGCTCCAAACTGAGTAAAGACCTCGATGTGAAAACGAACCTGCTAGAAGAAAAAGTAGGAGGTACACTCCAAGAAATAGGCTTAGGTAAGGACTTCCTGAACAGGAAGGACTCCAGTCCCTCGGGCGATAATGTCAACAATCCAAAAATGGAACTTAGACAAGTTAAAAATGAGGGCTTATGGTGACACAGGAAGAAAACACCAAGACAAAGATAAGTTGTCACCCCACGATCTGACCTGATCGTACCCCTGAGAAAGGCAGAGAATTGTGATTCCACCAATACAGATGAATGGCCACAGGCACAATATGTGTTTTCCGAAAGACAACTTGTGAAAGGTAACGAACAAATTGTTTGCCTAGTGTTAGATGATAAATTCCAAGAGACGCCTCAATCAAGGGTGTTATGGATGATAGTGCTTACTCAGGCGGTGGTGACTATAACCAGGACTTCTCACACACACCCCCTTTCCTCTGGATCTTAATGGTACCTTCTATAAATCCACCTTCCAACTTTGTTTATTGAGAAAAAAATCTTAACTTTATTATGAATACTTGGCAATGCTACAAAGAAGGGAGGCAGGATACTATTAGAGATGTAACCGCATGGCTGCCCTGCCCTGTTATGTGCCTGTAGGAAATGGTGTCTCTCCTTTGAGAAGCCTACACATGCCTTACACCTCTCTCTGTGTCTCAACACCTCTTTTCCTATTTTTTTTTAAATCCACCTTTGATTTATCCTGAAATTAATTTCTTTCTTCGAGCCACAAATCCCAGTCTCTGAAGCGTTCGTTCCTCACAGGCAGCTGCAGGTAGAGTCTGCAGCTCTGCCCCTGCCACTGGCAGGAGGCAAGCTTGAAGCTGAAAGTCTAACACAGCCAAGGGAATTACCAGTTGAAGGAAGAATGAAGAGGCAGCCTAGGGAATCAATAAAACCTTTGCCATCACACAAAGGACTGATATCTAAAATATAAAAGAAAAAACCCTCAAGAAAACAAACACCTCAGGTTTTAAAAATGGCACTGGATAGAGAGCTCTCAAAAAGAGAATATAAAGCACTGATAAGTATATATGTGTTTTTTTTTAACATGTTGAACATTCCTACTCTCAAGAAAAATACAAATAAAACTACTTTAGGATTTCGTCTCATACCAGCCAAGGTGAGAAAAGAAAAGATAATAAACGCTGCCGTGGATTCGAGCAAAGGGAAGCCCTTACACTTTCAGTGAAGATGAACTGGTACAGCTCCGATGGAAATCAATGTAGAGGTTTTTTGAACAGCTAAAAGCAGAAATACCACATGGTACAAACTTATGACTCCTAGAACATACCACCCCAAACCATACACTGCCTTAAAGATACTGGCCATCAGAACTGCATGGGAAGACCTCATTGCTGCCCTAATCACAATAGATAGGAAGTTGAATCACCGAATCACCCTAGCTGTCCTGAAGCTGACAAGACAACGTGGTTTAAAGACACAATGGATTTCATTCATTTACAAAGAAAAGGGAAATTTACAGGAAAATAGGGATTAAACTAAAAGTAAAATCTTATAATGAATGTCTTTAGTAACTCAGCCTCAGAAAGACAAACAGCATATGTCCTCTCTGTTACATCGAGCCTATCCTTTGAATTTCTAGATTTGTGTGTTTAATCTATAGTGTTTGTGGAGGCCAGAGAAAATAGAAAGGGAACACTGGGAGGTGGTAATAGTGGAACATATGTGGCGTGCACACAGAAGAGGGGAATACTGGGGTTGGAAATACTTAAACAGGGATTGAGCAGAAGGATAGAGGAGAAGGTTAAGTAAAACTAAGAATATATGGATAAGCTCTTATGGAAACCCAATACTTTGTAAGCAAATAAAAAATATAGATAAAATGGAAACTCACTACTTTTTAAGCTAATTAAAAATACAATTTTAAAAAAGAGTTTAAACAAAAGTACAACTCATGGGTGGACAAAGCTTCCCAGAGGAGATGGGTTATCGCTGAGCTACTCCAGTGCTAGGTGTGGAGTATCTCCCTCTGAGCTATGGTTCAGGAAGATTTCAGAGGGCCCCAAAACAACACAGGCCATTGCTACCAGTCCTGGTCTTCCCATCAGAACTGCATGGGAAGACCCCATTGCTGAAGATACAATGTGCTTTAGTTGTGGGCCATAAAGGAATCAAACCGGAAATATCCGAAAACTTGCTTCATGTTGGCTAATGTTTCAGTGCCAGAATTGCTCGACAGGCTTTGGGGGCTACAACTCATCAATTGCATTGTCCGCTAGTGAGCCTACATGGTCCATTACTGACGTCTCGGGTAAATGTGCTTAGTGGTGTGATAGTGCAGCAAAGGTTATATGGGTAACCAACTGCTTTTGATTCTCTCTAAAGATGGCTTCACTGGAGGAACTTGTGCCTGATGCCATAAAACTGGACAAAATCCCATGTCTCAAAGAGTCAGAGGTCTTGAGGGAGAACCTACTACTGTTTTTTTTAAATGTTTGTGTTTTTTTGTTCTTTTGTGTGTGTGTGTGTGTGTTGCTAAATGGACTTGTCAAGCTACCCTGTTAGAATTTATGTATGTCACCAAAGATCAGTGTTGCCCTAGCCCTTGGCCAGAGAAACTTCCCTCTTCAGTGGTCAGTGGTCAATGCGGAGACTCACAACTGGTCAAAGTGCTAAGAATAAGTGACCGTTGAGAGTGCAGCCCTGAGTGGGATGACTGTATCACTGCCCTCACAGTGTTCAGGAGCACTGTGGGAGAGGAGGTGAAAGGACAGTGAGAGCTGGAGGGTGGGAATCGGGCTGTGAAATGTTACCTCCCGGAGACGCCATGTTCAATGCACTTGAGCACTCATAGCGGCTGTGTGTACCGGTGCAAGACCTGCAGTTTCAAACCACTCCACAGTCCAGAGTGGACTCGGGGAGGGATTATGAGGTCTCCTGCCTCCCTGAGGAACTACTGGCCATTACCATGCTACAAGGTAGGGAGTTGGTTTTTTCCTGGTGATGTAGCTTCTGAAATACCCACCACCCATGCTCATAGCAGTGAGCCAAATGAAACTCAGTGGTTTAAAAGAAAAAAGAGACATAAATGGAGGGGGAGGACTTGTGGAGAAACTCTTTAGAAGGAGTGAGAAGGCAACAAAAGTAACTGGACATGGTAAAACTAAAATAAATAGAGATCAAAACTAAAAACACTCATGGAACCAGTGAGATGAAACAAGAGGTATCTGCTGTCAAGCCTGATGATTTGAGTTCAGTCCTTGGGAACCACTTGGAAAAGCAAGAGAATCAACTCCCAGACATTGTCTTCTGGTCTCCACATGTATGCCATGGCATGTGCTTCTGCACACACACACACACACACACACACACATGCATACATACATGCACACACATGTACACTCACATACACAGATAAATAATAAATGTAATGAAAATAATATGCATGAGGAATATATATTGTCTTGGCACCAAAGAAGGGGGGAAGCTTACAGCATTTCATAGCATATACCCTCTCCCCAAAGACATCTGATAATCAGATCTACTGATCAAAACAATGCACTTGATATGAAAAACTGACTTAAGATAATCTCTTCAGTGGCCTCTTCCCAACAGATGATAGGCAGCTTGTACAGTCTTAAGCTGCTACTGGGGGTCAGGCAGGGAGATTTGAGGACATAGATGTACGAGGACACACAAACTCATTCTTACCTAGGGAGTGACTGACCCCACTTAGACAACTGGGGAGAGATCTGACCTCTTACTCCAGCGGGAGCGGGTGGAATTAACAAAAAGATCCCCATCCTACTAAATCAGCTTGTGCCAGAATCCTGACCTTGATTTCCCTCTGCTCCCACACACTCCTAGCCCAGCTATCCAGTACATCATCCCACGTCTACTCCAGTCCCTGTCCTTGCCCCATTTCAGCCTCCGAGGACTCTCTCTCACCTTGGAAGAACACAAGATTAAAAGCCCCCAGCAGTAGGAGAAGGAGCATGAACTTGCCCATCTCAGTCTGTGCTGGCAGAGGACACAGCAGAGCAGGGGCAGCAAGTACTCAGGAGAGATCAGGGTAATGAGAGCAGGCTGCAGAATTTGCTCTGAGCTGCTCCCAGGATGTGGGCAGGAGCTTCCTTCCACACCTGCCAGTGGGTGTTTGCCAGTGCCCAGGTTCAGGAAAGCATCCCACAGAACCAGTTCCTTCAGAGTTCCAGGGGACAAAGGATGCCCCTGGATCCCTCTCATATTCCTTTATGGGTGAAACTAGGATTGTTCATTTCCTAAGTGAGATCCCTAAGGTTGAGCTCAGAACAAAGCCATGAACCTTTCTTCCCTGGTTGGCAATGAGCCAAGGAGCTATAAGAACAGAGCCTTGTGTGTGTTCTTTGGCCCAGGATCTGCATTCATTCTACAATGTCTCATGTGTCATAGATCTCTGTTCTCCAAGGAATCTAACAAAGTGTATCAAATGTCATCCAAACAGCACATATGTAACAGAGGTAATAATAATATATCATGGGTTGCTTTTCCAAAATACGAATCATTTCCTGTTTCATTTGGGTCTTATTTATTTTTGTTTATCACAAACACAGACCCACACTCAACTAACCAAGCAGACTTACCTAGACACAGACTCTCAGTTTCTGAGCCATGCTTATAGAAAGGCTCAGATAGAATTTTCATGCATACTTCTTCATAGGTTTATCCTACATGTGGTGCACAGGGCACAAAATACAAATATTTTTTTCTAATTTTTAAAGTTATACTTTTCTACTAATAAACTCATCTACCTAGTGGCTTCAGCTCTTTGGTTGTACTTCATAGAAATAATGAAACCTCCAGACATCCAAGATCTAGTCAAGAGAAAGAAGGAGCAAGCACGAAACAAGTTCACTAACTCGGCAGGCTGGAGTTAGGGAGCATCCTAGAAGGCAGGAGTAGTCTTGTGCACCTCCTCCCTCTAGACACTCCCTTTATGACAAAGCCCTTCCATCAGGCTCACTCTGCACAGTGAGCACTCAATATTTACTGATGGCTCCACAAAGAAGAATATGGGAAATGAGTGAAGGTAAGGTGGTCTGCGGGAAGAGAACACCTACCGGATGCTGAGGACCAGATTCCCCCATGCTGTAAAATCTGTGCGTCTGAGGCACTCCATGCCTCATAAGCTCAGCTACTATGAAGGAGAGCTTCTTCCCATCTTCCCAAGACAAAGATAGAACACAGCAAACACTGGACAAGCAAGACTTTCGAGAATAGTAGAGGGCAGTCACTCCACAATTTACCAGACTCACACCAATTCACAGCACCATCGCCCCACTTAGCAGTATCTTCAGCAGACCTTTTCAACAACAACAGTCGAACTCTAGGTGTTGTTACAGTCTTCAACCCTTGGTACCCCATCGTAAGTTTCCTAGTTATGGTTATCATTGCTGTCATGAAACACCATGGCCAAAGCAACTTTGGGAGGCAAGGGCATCCTTCCAAATCACAGTCCATCACTGAGGGAAGTCAGGACAGGAACTCAAGCAGGCCTGGAACCTGGAGGCAGGAGCTGGTGCAGAGCCCAGGGAGGTATGCTGCTTACCGGTTTGCTCCTCATGGCTTCCTCAGCCTGTTTTCTTTTTTCTTTGTCCTCTACCAAGGTTTTTATTTATACCATTTTCTTCTTCTTTTTAAAAAAATTTATTTATTTTAAATCCCAATTGTAGTTTCTCCTCCCTCCTCTCCTCCCAGTCTCTAAACCCACCTCCCCTTTGCCCTGCCCCCATCCATCCCTCCTCCCTTTCTCTTCAGAAAAGGGTATGAGCCTTAATTCTTACAGAAGCTGGAACTACCAGTCCATGTGTGGCCCTACCCACAATGGGCTGGGTCCTCCCCCATCAATCACTAATTAAGAAAATTTCCTACAGGTTTGCCTACAGCCAGATCTTATGAAGGTGTTTTCTTGATTGAGGCTCCCTCCTCTTCAATGTGTCAAGTTAGCACAAGAAATGAGCTGGGAAACATGGTAAGGAAGGAACAGAAAATAAGGAAACAGAATCTATCCAAATTGCTGAAACTACCAATGAGCAAATCTGTTGCATAGCATTAACTTAATGAAGATACTCTCTTCTTTACTTCAAGAATGTAACAACAGCAGCAACAATTTTCACATGTACTCTCTCATAGGTGGTTTTAAAACATAAAGCAAGCAAAGAAAACCAGCCTATAAACCACAATCCTGTAGGGTTAGGCCCGTGGGCGAATGTTTACTGATAAATTGGGCTCGCAGAAGCCGAGGGCCCCTTCCTGCTTCTTGTACTCCACTGGAACCTTGGTTTCATGAGTCTGGTTTTTCCATTAAAGTTGTGTAAATATCTATTACAATTTGTCTTCATTAATCTAAACCGCCACACAATCCTAGAGAATATAGACAACAGTTTGACAGTAAGAGAGACATAGATCTAATCTACATGGGAAGTAGAAAAAGACAAGATCTTAGTAAATTGGGAGCATGGGGACCTTGGGGGAGGCTTGAAGCGGGGAGGGGAGAAACAGAGAGGGAGTAGAGAAAAATGTGGAGCTCAATAAAAATCAATAAAAAAAGGGATATTCCAAAGCTTTCCAAGTAATCAACTGAGCTATAGAGTTTCCAGACTCTACAAGGCAGATAGGTGGCTCTTCAACTTGATAAACTAGCCAATACCAGTCTTAGGGGTACCAAACTCCATCATTATTATTAACTGAAGATGTTTGAACCCAGAAACCACAGGCAGTGTTACTTTTTCTTATAGGGTTCACTGCCTGGGTCTGGCCTCCTGCCACTTTCACATTTTAGCTTGTCACATCCAGCCCTCCTGCTCTCCACCGACTGCTTCCTAGGCAGTCATCTACCCTGGAACTATAGCAGGTTAAATCTGGGTTCCCTGACTTGTAGCCGTGTTCTCAGGCACATGTGGGAGCTACATCTATGTACTGTTTGGAGTGATCTTCAAGAGGTCGTTTTTGCTAGTTTGTTGTTTTCATGTGCTGCTGCCCAAATTTATTTTTCAGTGGACTTCTCAGGTTTCTCCTGGCTCTAAAGAGTCTCCAGTTCTTATATGCTAGCTCAAGAATGTTTCTTAATATCTCTCCCTCTTTCTCTCTCTCTCTCCTTGTGGGATTCAGGCTAGATCTGGTGAGTTTCAGCAAAACAAGAATCGGTGGGGGATGAGTACTCATGAGGCTAGACTCTGGACAAGGACATAGAATATCTGTGTATGGAGTAAGATGGTGGAGCTGGCTCAAAAAGTCCTGTGGGTATGTGCAGGGAGGGCAGGTCTATGAATCATACAGAAGGAGAAAAAGAATTCTCTGTCTATTGCTGAACATTCCTGAGAGGGACCACTATGTCACCAACACTAGGTAGCAATCAAATAAATACATTCTTTCTCTCAAGACCCGCTGACAGCAAACCCACTAGAGGGTAAATTTTCAAGTGCTCAAATTGCATATATTCTGAATTCCTTAGTGCCTAGAAGAAGGGGTGAGGAAAAAGTGCGATCTGTGTTGAGTTGATCAGCTTCTAGAATTGAGTGAACCAGTTAGTATCCTGGACACTCTGATCTCTGTTCCAACATCAAGGAAATCCATCCACATTTGGCTCTGCTTTTCAAACTTACACCATCAATTTTAAACTATAGCACCTCTCATCCCCTTTGTATGACAGCCTGTACTTTCTTCTATGTAAGATTTTTCAAACACTTGTTTCAAAGTCACAGTCAATGCTCTGGGCCCACACTGTGTCTCTATACTGTATTATCTCACTGTCTTCTGTGGGCCCTTGGTTGATGATGTAGCTGCGTGTGTTCTTGGTGTCAATCATAAGAAATATATAGGGTAAAATGACTATTTTGGAATATGAAAACAATGACAACAGAGATACATTGGATAATAATTTTTTAAAAAAACTTCTAAATTAAATCATCTGGTGTATTTCAAGGATGTATTGATTTCAAAATAGAAAACAGGAGATGTGCTATGTTGGGAAAGGGATTTATCTCTTGTTTCCATAGGAGAAGAAAAGCTATGGATACCACCAGAATTAATAAAGATTCAGTTTAAAAGGGAAAAACCTCTTGGTAAAGAGAAATGACAGCTTATCCACAAAGGTGACAGTACCACAGGTTATAAGGAAACCTCATAAGGATTAGGGCAGAGTTCTGTTCTTGTCGTTGCAGAAAAATACCTATTTTTGAAAAGTCAAGAGATGTTGGATATCTAGATACGTAAAGAAAAAAGATAGCTATCCAAAAAAAAAAATCATGGGTTTGGAGGAGGCCATGAGGGTCTGGGCAGGGCCCAACAATGGCGTAGACTCAGGCCATGTGAATGCCAATTTGTTGGAATACGAAAGAGTTCCACAATAGCCAAGAATGGAGTATATTTTACACTCCATGTATTTATGGAGTTTATTTATTTGGAGATAAACTCACAGAAAGAGTAGCAATGCACAGTCCTCTACATGCACTGGGAACTGGAACTGAATCCAGCAGCCAAGAAGCCCATGCATGCATTTATAATACATGAGACTACACCCAAAGTGGGCTGCTGTCTTAAAGATTATTGGCTGAAGGAGTCCCCACAGCAGCTTTGCTCCTATTTTTCCCTATCCCCCAAGGACACCCACTGGGACTTTGCATCAGTACTGAATTTGATAGACTATAAGTAGGCTTCTGCCATGGTAAATTAAAACGCTTTCTATAAAAGAGGAGTTCCCATGAAGTTGGACAAGTAGTGCAATGGGAAATGTATAGGCTCACCTGACAGATCAAGGGACCAGGAGGAGTAATTGAGAAGTTAATGATGAGGAGGTCTGAGGGAGAGGCATGAGGATAAATATGTTCAATGCACACTCATGATGAATCTTCTTGTCTCATCATACCAGAGATACCCTACAATCAATGGTCAAGCTAACCTGACAAAATGAATGTTTCCTAGAACCTGTTCTTCTAACTCACTGTCCACGTGTGGACAGTGAGTTAGAAACCAAGAATCTAAAGGGAAGGAAATGTGGACAAGTTGATAGTCCAACAGTATGACTGCATTTCATCAAATGTGATTAAGCATCCTATGCTACACAGTATCTACGACATCCATAAAAAAGTCCCAACTTTGAACGCTCAATAGTGGACCTTTTCTAGATTATTGAATCAATTGTAAGATGGCAAGTTGGTGGCCCTGGGTTCCTTTCACCCTAGAATGGATGGTTATCAATATTTAGCTATGGAGCTCTGCCCAGCATCGTGCTTCCTTTTTGGTCCTTCCTGCTAAATATGGTAGATCATGGTGTTGATCATCTACATTGGTGTCTGAGCTTTGGAGACATAAGATAAATAGGTGTGTATTGGACTATCTAATTCTCTTCATGAAAA